ATTTTAGCTAAAAATTAAAAATAATTTTTTCACTAAAGAATCGTAACAGAATTATACGAAAAATTCTACATTTCACTAAAAAATCTAAATTTTTTGGGAAAAATAATGTTTATAATGCTAAATTTAGTTTTTTGTGCAAAATTAAATTTTAATTAAAAAAAAAAATAGATTTTTTACTAAAACGGATAACAAAACCAAACGAAATTTTGGATTGTTTTGCGGTTTAGTGAGTGATGTTTGTTAAATTTATTTATGTAGTATGTGACCTCTCTCTATCTGTTTACGATTACAGTTAAAAGATACCGCACACTTATATACGTTTACATCTATCAAATATTTGTCGAAAATTACGTAACCCATAAAAAATTTCCTTTAAATGAATATTTTTTTACTGAAACATAATAGATATATCGTTGAAGATATTCCTTTAGAAAGTTTTTATTAATATTTTCAACATTACGTCTTTTTCGTCAAATATTTGATAGGTGTGAACGTACATTTAAATACTTTTGTATATACATTAGAGTGTCCCGAGGAATAGCCTTTTTAATAATTTCATGTAGGAATACCACGCAATCGATACGTATTGATGTACTGAACACGAGAAAAAAAATATATTTTTTCCCTACCAGCGATTGAAAATCCTTCCATCAGTGTAAATTTTGAAAATAAAATATTTTTCTATTTTTTCGAAATGGGTCTCAAAAATTCCGTAATTTTAAGCTGATTACGGGAAAAATAATTTTAAAATTTTTGTAGAATATTTTTGGTCCACAAAATGATTTTTAGTTGGTTGGAGAGGCATATTGTTTTCGCTTTTTATCGAAATGGGTGTCAAAATTGCCGTAATTTTTAGCTCATACAGAAAAATATTTAAAAAATAGTTTGGCATTTGGTTTAGTCCATTTCAGAATCTTTGAAGTTTTTATGCTCCTTATAATACAGTAAAAGTCGTTTTGTGGACCAGAAATAAACTAACAAAAATTTTAATTATAAGCTCAAAATTATGGAATTTTTGACACCAATTTCTAAAAGATTGCAGAAAATATTTTTTAATATATTGTACTGAGATCAAGATTTTCAATCGCAGGTAGTGAACTGAAGACTTTAAAAAAAGGTTTTTTTATTTTTCTCATATTTAGTACATACATTGAAACGCATCGTTTTAGAGATATTCCTCCTAAAAAGTGGTCAAAAGTGGATACCCTAATATACATATGTATAACACAAGTATATATACAAAATTATTTGTGTGTAAAGTATTTGCTTTTATCTATGTCATTTATAACGTCTAAACTATTGATAAACAAACGCTTGAAAGGATTGTTACCAGTGTTGCAATATGTCACGTTCAATATGGAAAACTTCTAATACATATTTGAACAATAATTTTATTAAAAAGCTCTTAAATGTAGAATTTATATTAAATTTAAAAGTACATATAATTAATATTGTTAAATATGTTGAAAGATTACTGTGATAATAACAATCGTTTTTAAAGTATTTATGGCAACACTGATTGTGACTCAAATTTATTTGTTTATATACAAATTACTTGTGTGTAAACCCTCACATGTGTATATACATATATAAATATGTTTTATAAACCAACATTTACAAATTTTTCGGGATATTCTATTTGTTAGTCATGCTGATTAAAATATATCGTTACTAAAAATTTTAAAAATCTCTTAATCAATGGTTCCTCAATAAAATCATAAAGCATTCACCCCTATTCTGTATTTCGATTACGTTTACGCATTCAGTTACGCAACGTTCAAAGCTTTACGATTGTGTGTATTCTGCATTACGATCGTAGCTACGTTTTTGTAAGTTGTTGCTTATGTGGCGAAAAGTCGAATCGAAATGCAGAATAGGGGTGTTATAAAATATAAATGTTAATTGAATAATTTAGGAACACAAATGGGAAAATACTCAAAAAATACTTTTTTTCTTAAAGTTTGGATATTTTTGTTTTCGTAAGGATTGCCAGTTTTCACCTAAACATAATTTAACCGGAAGTATGTCAGAAGTTTAAACGGAAACCGGAACTTGTGATCACAGACAAAAATTTTGCAGAAAGTTTTTAAAATTCTTTTATTGCCAACTACTAATGATGTATCTTTTTTAGGACTAGGTATGAAATGAAAAAAATTCTATGATTAATTATTTCAAGATTGTTGCATTTTGTTTGACGATATGTCCATATATATGTACATACATAATAATATTTTTTCTTATATTTCTGCATAAATGTTTATGTATGTATGTCTGAATATACAGCCAAAAGTTTCCCTCTGCATCTGCTCTATACATACTCCTACGCTGTTTGTGGTATTTTATAAATTTCTTTCATCTCTGCAACACAATTTAGCCACAAGCAAAATTTACTACTAAAGCGCTAAACAATAAAATTAAAATAAAATGCAAATAAATAAGTGATTATTTTCGAAAAGCTTTACAAAAGCCACAATGATCGTTGTAATTGAATTTATACGTTTGTTGCCAGCATTTTGATCATTATTATGAGTGTCGGCAGTGTAAGATCGATCCATACAAAAATCAAATTATGTATGTATGTTATTACCCAGCAGATCGACAAAAAGTCAAACCACCTGGTTGGCTCTAATTCGTCTTTCGTCACGGATGTACTCTTTGTAAACTAGGGTGAAGATAATCGTCACTTTAGTGTCTCCTTTGTATGTGAGAGAGTGTTTACTTAAACTTTTTGTGTGTCTCTTGTAATCTATGGGGTGACGATTGACTTTCTAGTAGGACAAGCACCTGGACACTCGGTAGCTAGGAGTAACCCTAAGTGGTATGTTAAATAGGTAGTTCGGGACTGTCCGGCCGAACTGCTGGGTAGTCAAATGGATAGGTTCATATGTATATATGTATGTATATAGATATAGTTGATAGATTAAAATATTTTATTTAATATTCATTGTACATACATACATATGTATGTATGTCTTAAACATATCCTTTCATTTCCTAAATTTTTCATTATTACCTAGATATTTTTCTTAAAAATATATAATTTTTCTTTTGTAACTTTCCAATGTAAGTATGTATGTATGTGTAGTTGAAAATTAATAACGTTTGTGTGTGTATGTATACTTTAACATATAAGATGATGCCTAAAATGTCATGACTGTTTTGTGTATTTATGATTCCCTCCATTTATTGTTTGTTTAATTTAACATGTAGTAAATACAACACACAAATATGTGTATATAGTACTAAATTTTACATAACACATACTTACATACATATGTATTTATGTATGTACTAAAACACAGCTTACATTTCACATTTATACACAAAGGGAAAGGTACAGGCGACTATGTAGTTTACCCGCCAAATTTTACTTGTTCAAACTGCTGTTTAAATTAATCTTTGTAAGGTTTTTTTGCTCACCAGGAAATACATAGTTTATCCAAGTACTTTGAGGGTGAGAAACCTAAAACGACTATTATATAAATACTATATTGTTAACGAATGAAGAATGCCATTTTCCATCCCTGAATAATTGCAAACATAAATGTTTTTTATACATTTCGATGACTATATTGTACAGTTGCGGGTGAGAAATTAGTATTAATGTACATTTATAAAACAATAAACGTGTATGGAGAGTTTTGGTAATAGTAGCGGCCATTTTTGCAGGGAGATCCAAATGTTGCTGTTCTTGTGGATTAGATGCTGTCAATGAAAAAAACTTCTGGCCTAGAGTTTACAATGATTTACCTTTACACATTTTGCAAAACTTTATATGAAAACTCATTTTTGTTTCCATTTCTTCTCCGAATAACCCTATAAATATAAAAAATGGAATAAGGAAAAATTAACTTTGTATGTAAACTTTCAGTTCATCTAAAAAGGAGCTAATAAACTAATAAAGGAACTAATAAATAACTGGTGTAGGGTAACACACATATGATCGGTCATAACAGAATATACTTTCTTGTTTTTTTAATATGCAATCAGCAATTGATTATCTGTTTAATAAAGATTTTGATTTGGTGGAAAAACCTATATTTATATTATAATTATAATTTAATTGATTAGATTCATATTCTAAATCGAGTCAAACATTTCATAATCCCACTGATTTTGTAGTACCAAATATATTGATGTAACCAAATTTTCACTTAAGAATCCAATTTTACTAATTTCAATAAATCACTCTCGTTAAATACATTGTTTCGAGAAAAAGGGATTTTTAAAAGTTTTATGACGTATTACTTTAAAAAAATCATAGAATTTAAAGTATAAAACCTTTTATACAAATTTATTTAATTTGATTTATTTAAATTTTTGACCAAAAAATACTAAAAAATTATTTATTTTTCCTTAAAAGTTAATAAAAAACGGATTTCATTAAATATATAACTTTTTATTTAAAATACTTTTTGACAATTTTCAACTTTTTTATGGATCTGGGCGGTCATAGCTATACACTTTCTGAGTTCAAAATGTTATCAACTTATTAACTAAATCTTAATGATTACCTTTTGAAATAACTGCTAAAAAAATAGCGTTTTTATTTATAAACCTGGAAGCATTATACACATATTAACTTTAAAAATTTGAAAATAAGTCAAAATGAGGACAAAATTGAAACCTAAAAAAATTTAAAAAGTCAATAAATCAAAAAATTCTATAAAAGAAAAATGTTGAATAAATAAAAATCGTAGAGTCGAAGAGTTTAAAAAAATCTAAGAGTCGATATTCTATAAAATGCAAAGTCGATTTTCTATTCTTTTTCGAAAGTCAATTAAAAGAATACTAACACAAGTTAGCATTATTAGTACGCTTATGTCAGAGTTGCCTTTTTTAAAGCAATATGTACTTTACAATCAAAACGAATTTAAAAAAAAAAATAAAAAAACGTTATAAAAATAGTTTTCTAGCCCACAGTGCAAATATCATCCCTGTTTTTCTTAGTGTCGTATTAAAATCAAAAGTGTGTTTAGTGAGCATTATTTTCGAAGTTATGTCGAATTTGACGTTTGTTGACAGCTGAGCCGCATCCGTTATTGGCCCTCTCTTTCTTTTCGTTTCTTTCTTTGACAACTGAAATTCGTCAAGATGGTATGTGTTTAAAGAATTTTTATGAAATTTATGAAAAAAATCACAAAACATCGTTTAAAATTTAACAAAAAAGCCATTAAATGTTTAATTAAAGTGTAAAAGAAGTGAAATTGAACAAATTTAAAAAATTATTTTAAAAATTAATTAAAATGTAAATACAAAAAATTGCAGCAAAACTTTTGTGAAATGAAAAGATGCAATTCACGAAAAATCAGTGTTCTGTGATAATTTTTCAACAAAATTTCTTATTTTTAAAGTTAAAAAGAATTATTAATTGTTCTTTTGTTTTAATTATTTAAAGGTAAACGTACCAAAACAACGTCGCACCTTCTGTAAGAAGTGCAAGTGCCACAAATTGCACAAAGTCACCCAATACAAGAAATCCAAGGAGCGCAAAGGTGCCCAAGGTAGACGTCGTTACGACAGAAAACAACAAGGTTTTGGTGGTCAAACTAAGCCCATCTTCAGAAAGAAGGTAAGAAAAGAAAAAAAATTCTAAAAATGTTTTGAAATTGAAGGCATATTCGTAGAACCGGGTTGCTGCTGTTTTCAATGGAAACTAAGCTCTCTGGTGGGATCAATATATGCTAGAGTAATAAACAATTAGTTTGTCAAATTTTTATGGTTCCTAAAAGACAAGTTTTGGATTTTTCCTCCAAAGCTCTGCCGCTAAAGCCAGAAGATTTGAACATTTCTCTTACAAAATAAATTTTATGTTTCTTTTTTGCTTGATTTGTGTATTAACGATTTTATTTTTTGTCTTTCTATTTTTAGGCTAAAACTACCAAAAAGATTGTCTTGCGTATGGAATGCACTGAATGCAAATATCGTAAACAATCTCCCTTGAAGCGTTGCAAACATTTCGAATTGGGTGGTGACAAGAAACGCAAGGGTCAAATGATCCAGTTCTAAATGAATGGACTCGTCTCCATTTCATCCTCAACGCAGTACCATCTAATTGTATCAACATTTTTAGTTGCCCACGACGTTGTTTCTTTACTAAGTGTGTACATTTATTTAAGTTGTATGAAAATTACATTTTTGTAATTTTTACAAACTAAAAAACAGTTTTGGATAAAAAAATATATATTGAGAATACTTTGAAAGTGTTTTCAAGTTAAGAAAAACAACAGTTTATTTTATTTTTACAAAATTTAGATAAATTTTATTTTAGCTTAAAGATAAATTTTTGAAATAGTGAATATAGAGATAATTGTTTATGGTGAACTTAAGGGAATATTATGCCATCAATAATTACCGGCTTATAATATTTAGATTTGAAACTTCATATCGTCTGCTTAAACGCAAACGGTACAAAAATTCATCGACTTTTTCATTAATTTTGATATATTGGATCAAAATAAATGTTGATAAAATTTTAGGCACCGCCGACCAATTTTATAAATAAAAACCAACGGTCCTCTATAATAACAGTTATAGAGGCGAAAAGTTCTAACTAATATGTTTGTTTGCCTGACCATAGCTTTTAGTTCTCTAACTCATGGTATGACCGATATATTTTTAAAGTATTTTTGGTTTACAGTTTACAATTGAAATCTTACAGTTACAAATTCTCAAAACTTTGAATAAAAATTCAAAATTCCAGACACCTTAAATGAGTTCATATTTTTATTCGAATCAAGAAATTCTTTGTTTAAAAACGTTTTAAACAAAAAAAAAGAAAAAAGTTGTAATATTGGATTTCGAGGGACTACTTTCAATACTCTCTTCGATTTGAATGAAAATCAGTTTTTTATGGTAAAATATTCATCAAACAAGTCCACATCTGTGAAATAAATTTTATAGAAAAAATAATTTTTTTATCTTCAAAACTAAAGTCCAAAACATGCTTTAAAATTTGATTATTTTAATAATTTTAGTTAAAAAATATGTGAAGCAATTTTAATATGGAGTGCAAGAATTACTCCTCAACATATTTCTAGTCGGATGAATTGACTTCGAGTTATCAGACATTATATGCACATTTGTTTAGATTTATATTCGTATTTAAATATATACAGGACATTTTGGTCCAAAGGTTTATACAATTTAGCCTGTAAATATTATCATTTTCGATTCGAAAACGACTTACGATGTCGTTTTAATAGCAGTTTTTAAAAATTTTCAAAAAGCGATATTAGTTTATTTACATAATTTATAACTCGATATTTATATTCTCCATATATTTTTACTTAAAAAATCTATTGCATTAAATACTTTACAACTTATTGGATGTAAAGGATTTATGATAATCACAGCTAAACGGCAGTCAATTGTTAAATATCAACTTTCTTCACTTAGATCATTTTCAAAAGGAATGATGGCATTAGGATTACTATAAATGAAAAATAATATAAGTTATAATCAAGATTAAAAAGTTAAATTAACTTACTCCAGCATACTACAGTCTAAACCTTCAACCTGCATTTTTATTTTAATGGCCTGTGCGGGCACACCAACTTGCAACATTTTAAAGAATTTCTTATAGGCTTCATGTTCTGAGACTTTAATGCCCTTAATACTATCAACTTGTTGTTGTTGCTCTGGAGTAGGCTCGGTTTCAACAATAGTTTCAACTGAGGTTTCTTTGTTATTTTCTTCTTTAGCGAATGTGGTGGGTTCAGTTTCCTTTTCAACATCTGGTATAGAAGCCAACTTTAATAAAAAGATAATTAAATATTATTGAAAAAAATCCTTTTATTTGTTTTTTTACCTTAGCTTCTATAATTGTTAAGGCCGCCTCTACTTTTTGTAATTTGCGTTCCAATTCGATGAATTTGGTTTCACATTGCACAGCAAAATCATTGAGGAAACCACAAGAGCTTATAAGAAAATGATTTACAAATGCCAATACACGTTTCTGATGCAGTGGTGGTAGCTAATTGGAAAGGTTGAGATTTTAGAAAGTTTTACTAATGACAATTCCGAAAATACCTGTGTTTTATCCACATTTTGTGTTAAAATTCCTGTAGCATCCATTTTCAATCGTTTTAATTTAATTTTTTTGTAATGTTCAGTGTTTTTTTATTTATGTTCACACTCAAAACAAAAGATAACAAACAGCTGTATAGTCAGTGTTGTAATTTAAAGTAGTAGTAAAATGAAGTACTAAATAAAATTTGGGACTTTTTTAGAAATTTTAAATAAAAATTTAGAAGACTCTTTGGCAGAATAAAAATTTAGATGGTTACGGTCTAAGAATACATACATGCCATTAGTATACATCAGTGTTGCTCAAACACATACTACCATAGACTACCATAGTTTTATTTGTGTTGGTAAAGCAGCAGAGAACAGAATTCAATTCAAAATAAAAGTATACTAACAAAATGACTATAAACTATAAAGGATATGCTAACTGTCAAATATTTATTATGGATTTTGACAGCCAGCGTATATCAAAGTGTATATATAAAAAACTATCAACTGTTCTCTCATGTTCTCCTACATTAATTCGGCTTTCTCAAAATTTTGTTGTTGTATTTCTGTGTGTATTTTAAAAACGTCGCGTACAGACCTTGCTTCGACAAGTGCTGATCAGCAACTGATTTGATTTTGTTTTTCAAGTTGAGAGCAAACCAACTGATATTGCTCATTATAAAAAGAAGAAGAATTAAACCTATAGTGTATGTGTATCAACTTAGCGTCAGCAGAATTTTCTTACCCTATCACGCGTGCTATGTAATGGCAATCTTGCGCTCCTCTGGTATACATATCCGATAAATTGGGAAAACGTTTATTTTCTTAAAATTAATACATTTCTTCCCTACTCAAATATTTTGAAGTATACATAACATTGTTTCATTCCAAACATTTCTTTTTGTTGTTTTGTTTTTATATTTATTGTTATTTTTCTGTGTTTTCACTTTGTATTTTTTTAACAGCTGTAGCATTATTGTGCAGTTACTGAATAAATTGAGTGCAAGTAATCATAATTATTATTAATAAAAAATAATTTAGAAATCTTTTGTTTACTAAGGTTTCTTTCTAACAAAGCCAAATATACAAAACCAGTAAGTTGAATTCCTCCAATAAGGTGACCTACAAAATGTAAACAAAGGTTTTTTATTTTCTTTACATTACTTTACATGGATTAGTCACTATTAATTAGTTTAATTAATTAATGAGTGAGTGAAAACAGAATTTCGGTGATTTATTTTATGACTCAAAATTGTTGAACAAAAACTATGTATGATTTATGTATATGTAACATTTTGAAAAGGAAAGGAGTGCCTAGTAGTCAGTGAAATTTATTATTGATTCTTAATTAAAGAGTAGTGGCTGTAAATAAGTACATGAATAAATTATGTGTATATTTTGTATTTCCGTTTAACAATTTATAGAATTCATATTAAAAATTCTGTTGGTTTATTATAAAAAAATAAAAATATGTAGTGGTTATAATTTCTTTGTTATGTGGGTTTTTTATATAATACATATTAGAGAATTTTAAATAAACAAAATTTACTTTACTACATAGTTTACATTATATTATAACAATCTTAAAGAAAAAGGGCTTCCTGAAAGTACCGAAAGCCAGCAGTTGCTGACGTTTTAGCCAATAAGAATTGTTTCAAATATGTATGCATATTAATTAAAATCTCTGTGTGAATGAATTTCGTTTTTACATCGTACACCACATTAGTGTGCATTAAAGCATAGGAATTTTATAAATAAAAAGTTTTTAATGTAGAAAACTTAACCTTTGATAAATTGTTATGAACAAGGCAGTTAAAGATTACTTATAAAACAATTTCGATCTAAAGTTTGAATACCTACTCGTTTTGCTAAACTCTCAAAAAAGTTTGTTGTTGAAAATATGACTTAAATCTCGCAAAATACTTTTTAAAGTGCGTGCTGCAATGGCTCGAAGAACACAAGTGTCTTCCCTAGATGTACCTGATAATCCCGAAGATTTAGATAGTCCGGAAGAAATAGAAGCTGGTTCTCTAACAATTAAAACTTCCGAATCGGAATCAACTCCAAAAGGTAATAACTGAAAATAATTATTAAAAGAACTAGTGATTTGCTAAATATTCTCTCTTGTTTATAGAACTTTGGGAACGTCCAGTCAATTATAAAAAATACGAGATGCCATCAGATGGCTCACCGGTTTTACGCTTTGAAATTTTATCGGCTTGTATAATGCCACCCGAAGGAGAAGATCCCAAAGTAAAACGTTATGTAGTCTATGGTCTTACTTTGCGTTTAGATACAATAGCCTCAATTGATCCCGTGCCAGCTCGTATACAAAGGCGCTATACAGATTTCCGCGAATTGTACAATTCGTTGAAACAACTTTATCCCAAAGAAATGGTGAACATTGAATTTCCCAATAAAGTGTTAGTGGGAAATTTCTCTTCCAACCTAATTGCCGAAAGAGGTGCTGCCTTTGAAAAACTTCTAACACATATATCGGGAAATTCTGTTTTAAGAAATACCTCAACATTTTTGGATTTTTTACAAAACGAAGAATTAACCAAGGCTTGTCAATTATTAGACGAACGTAATGATGCTTGCATACCTATATTGGAAAATACTTTTATTTTGTTGAACAAAGTATTTATGGATCGTTCAAAGCCAGTACTCTTACTACTGTGTCGTTTAGTAGCCGCCTGCACAATTACACCAGTACCCCATCAATCGGCCGAGAAATGGGCTTCACTGGCTTTAAGTCGTTATGAAACTTTATGTGATATAGACTTGTTGCCTTTATACATACCCCTATTGCATACATGTGCCCATTTGTGGTAAGTTAATTTTATAGAAATTTTTATTATATACATACATATTCCAAACTTACCATATTCAATTATTTTATGCTAGGTGGCAAAGGGGTCGTGACCAAAAGCCCATTACAGATCGTCTTACCGACATGTCCAAGAAGGGTATTAATATAAATAATACGCCTACATTAATGCAAGCTATACATAAATTAGATCCACGTTCGGAAACTATATGAAATAAATATAGTGAATCATTTCATTCATTGATGGAAACTGCTACAACGCTTTTTCTAACCAGCTACTAAACAATGTGCATTTTTCATTTAGAATTTTACTAGATTTTAATATTCATAATAATATACAAAAGCAAAGTTTATAAAGCGATGTTTATACTAACTCGAGTATTTCAATTATATACATTTTATAGTTTATTTAAGTTTAGAAAACGATTTTATATTGTGCAATTTTTATTTTAATATTTTTTGTAGGTAATTTTCGAATATATGCGAAATATATCAATATAATTATGTACTATACATACATATACTATATGGATGTTTTTTTATTTGGAGAATTGTATATTATTTAAATGATGAAAATAAATAAACTGATTTTCCAGATATCTAATGGCCTTATAATAAGAAACTAACTACTAACTAACGAGCTGAATTATTTCTCTTGTGGGAATTTAGACACAAAAAAGTAGCAACTCGTTTGTCATTATGCCGTAAGTTTTTTTATGTTTTGTCACTTTAGACATTTTGCTAAATGACACAATCGAACAAAATGGAATATGTGACAGACCTGAACTTTTAGGATATAAATAATACGAATTTAGTTAGAATTTTAATTCAATTACTCGAAGGTATCTTAAAAAGTCTATGTTCTGAAACTACAATAAATTCTGTTTAGTAGGTCTAGGGAAATTGGTTAAAATTTTGACCTAAACTGTATTTTAGTTTAGGTCAAAATTTTAACCTAAAAAAAACATTGCAAAAAATGGTTTAATTTTCAAACAAAAGTTTAAATTCGATGTGAACTTAATTCTGCAATACGGAAGATATTGTTATTTGTAATGTATTATATATGTATTTTTGATTGACTCCGTTCATAAAAAGTACTATCGTAATATGCATTATGTAAACTTCATTAGTAAACCATTAATTAAAATTATACTCCTCCCATAAATGTAAACGATGGATGGCATCATCACATTGTTTAAGCTGACTCATAATGACTCTTCATCCTGGCAGAAAATACAATACAATTGACCTTAAAAACTTAAAAAAAAAGTATAAAAGTTTTTTATGTAAATTGCAAAAATTTAAGTGGCATAAGTTTTTAAAACAGTTTGTAAAGGAATGTTTACATAACAAGTTTTCATGCTTTTTTACGGTTATGAATCTAAATTCTTTTTCGTAAAGTAACTTGATAAAAACCATGTTTTTCGATAAAAAGAACCGTAACTAGTAATTAATAGAAATATGAAAGTTTTTTTTTATTGATCTTAGTTTTAAAACTTTATATCTTGAATATAAACACCCAGCAAAGTAGTGCGTTAAAATTTTAAAATTTACTTATACAAAAGCGTTCTAAGACATTATTTTAATACGGTGATGACATTGAAGTCAAGCACTTACCACTCTCGCTTACAATTTGTAAGTAAAGTAAGAACTAACCACGATCTCTTGCTAATTAGAAGTTAAGTAAATAGTTTTAATTTTAGAATAAAAGTCCACTGCGTCTACTAATAGTTTTCATATAAAAATACTACTTTTCCGTTTGTGTAAAAAATAATATTCTGAAACTATTTGACAAGGCTAAAGTAAGTACTTACATATAAAGTTATTTGAAAGTCATTACTAGACTCCTTCTAAGTCATGCGTTATGTATTAGTCAGTGAAAAGTAAGTTGTTGGGTATGTGCAAGTCATTTCCATGTATTTGCTATTCATTGACGCAATAAAGTAATTCTTTGGGAATCCCATTAAAAAAATTCCTAATTTGGTCAAAATTTGTTTTGTCAATAGACCTATTCTGATTATACACATTACCAGCAGAATAAGAAAATAATTATACATTAACTTTAAATGTAGTACTTAAAACAATACCTCTTATCAGCTTCACTCTTCATAGTGTTTTTTCTGAGATTTAAACGTCACAAAAAATAAAAAACAAACAAACAAAATTGACACCTCTGGTATACTCTAAAATCAATTTAAAATTCAAAACAAATTAGCGAGCATCGTTTTTTATTTTAGTTAACGATTTCAAGCGAAATAAAAAAAACTAAATAATCACAATTTAGCCCTTAGTTTTCAATGAGTATATAAACCTGACCATCATCTCTAGAGAGACATCATTTTTAATTGTTACTTCATTGAACACAGACAAATCTGAATTCTAAATAAATTTAAACAACATGAAATTCATTTTGGTTTTGTTCAGCATCTTTGCTTTGATTTTTGCTTCAGTACATGCTGTTGACAAATCAGGTAAGTTTTTTTTCGTCTTCCTATTTATTTAAGTCGACATAAGTGTTTATGTAAATTTGAAGTACTTATAATGTTTTTGTTTGTTTTTATTTTTAAAGCCTGCTCTCAACCCAAAGAAATTGGTCCCTGCCGCAAATCTGATTTGCAATTCTACTACAATGCCGAAACAAAGGCCTGCGAACAATTCTTCTATGGTGGCTGCCGCGGCAATGACAACCGTTTCAACACCCAAGAAGAGTGCGAGAAATTGTGCCTTTAAACCTATCTTTGTGTTGTGATTTAAACTGAGTTTATTTTTAAGTTTTTTGTTATAAATACATACATTTAATTTTTTATTTTAATTATCATTTTTTTAAATACATTTTTATTATTACGTAACTGATAAATTGTGTTTTTGTTTCTTTGTTTTAAAAAATATAAATATTTTGATTTCATTATACTTTGTCTACACCAGTAGCTGTAGAGGGCTTACCAAAAAAATAATAAAGAAAACAACCGTTTTTTAAACCAGTTTTCTGAATATTAATTATAAAGTGAAAAAATTACAAAACGAGAAATTAAAGTTGAGGTAATTAATGCAAAAAAAAAAAACAAAAGTAAAAGTATATGTTTTTAAATTTGACGTGGGTGAATATTTTATATTTTTATAAGGACTTAGGATCGAATTTTTACTAAATACTTACGGGCGAAATGTTACTCATGTTTTAAAAATTCGTAAAATTTTTTAAACTGTTTAATATATTTACTTTAGAACTTGTTTTAGTACTTTTACCGGTATGACATATTTTTACATGATAGAATCTTCTTGATTCCATTTACTTTTCGATATTCACTTCATTTATTTATTTTCATAATATGTAATATAAGCCTAACCCCCCCTTAGCTCAATGTCTGGTTATATTTTATCGTAAGGTTAACCGGCAGAATATCTACAGGTTAATCGATAATCAGAGGTGGAGTTAATGGAGCTAAGAGACTAAAATAAAAATATTCTGAACTATTTATCCGTTAAAATTGTTTAAGATAGCGGCAAATGTTACCGTTGTAAACTTGGAAACAACTTACTAATGTTATTGAAAAATTTCCTAATGATCGGGCCCATTTGATCCTAGCCCCATACAAAGTCCACTTCAGAAAAAGATTAGAGAGTATATATACATATAACTTTACTGTAAACGTAAATCCCTCTATTAACATTTAATATAAATAATGAAAATAAATATAATTTAATAGATTTCCGATTGATGTTTTTTTTTGACTTATATTTTTTTTCTAAATCTCAATGTCTCGATATTTTAGAATTAATCAAGTACGAACATTATGGAAGCAATATTTACAATAAACTAGTCAAATCCTAATAAAACATTGTAAACCTACTACAAGTAATTTAAATCTAAATGTTACATCTAACTATTAACAGCTTGTAATTAGTTGTATAAGCTTTGTATTGAAAGCTAATGCAAAAAATATCAGACAGTTGGGGGTTTTTACTTAATACTAATTTAATAAAAAAGTAAATAAACAAAAATATGATTATTTTTTTAGTGTTTTTTTTTCTCAGTAAATTATACTTGTATTAAAATTGATAAAATCAACAGTTGTATTTGTCTATATAATACACACAGTAGACACAATTTGCTATATTTAGTCTATGTATTACATTTTTGTTGTTGTTTAACAAATTGTTTACTAAATAAGCAAATAAATTATTAGTAATAAATTAGAAATAATAAAGTAACGAAATATTTGTCCATTGTGTTCAGGCACGTGTTTGCTTGGAATACATCTGGCGGATATAAAGGATACTTAAATAATTTTAACAAAATTATTAAAGTTAAAGATTCATATTTAAAATTTGTTCACAAATTTAATTAAAATTCCGGAGTCATAATTAATATTTTTTTATTTATTTCAAATTAACTATAATTTCAAAATTACTGCGTATCTCTCGAACATTAATTTTAAATTTTGCCTAAAAGTAAACAACACTTTTTGCAATTCATTTTAGAACTAACGGTTAATACAAAGTATACATACTATAGAAGTCGATTCCAAACTAAAGTGGAATTAATTCCATATTTAGTCTTTTTAAGAAAGATAAATCATAATCCCGCTCAGGCTAAACTATCGCAGCTTTGATGAAGTATACTGAACGTAATATTCTGTTTTAATATCATAACATTCGTTATCAATTAAGAAATCGGTTACATTTTACATTGCTATTCGTTAATTGCCAATTTTTTAAAAAATATTTGTTTGCCAAAAAGCTAATTTATATTTTGTTTAATGAAATAATTAAGAATTTAAATTATATAAAACAAATATCATTGGAAAAATAACTACAGCCTTATCGAAACAAAGATGAGGTTCTTTATTTAAATGACATCTGATGATTTAATATAATACCTTGAATAAATTTAATTATTTAATTAAAATATTGAGGGTTAACTGTGTCTTATCTCATTTAGAAGAAAGTCTAAAACCCAAACGAATCATTGAATTATGTATATATTTCCATAAGCTACATACATGTGTAATTTTTTTTATTCTATACTTTATCAATGTTCTTATGAAAACCTTTAAAAACAATTGTTTTCTTAAAAATTTTATACTAGAAGTGTGTGAAGGTTATTTAGAAATGTTTGTAAAAAAATATTGTACATAAACATTAGACTTGCTCTAAGAGCTCGATTAAATTAACTAATGCTATATATGAGTTCAAGCGGTTAACCAGAACACATACCGGGAAATATATGTGTACAAATATTGAAAGTCAGAACAATATTTGGTTTTTTTTTACCAGAGATCGCCAAACATAAATTTCTTGACACTTAGTTTTTAAATTAGTGTCATTGTTAAAAATTATGTTAAATTTATTTCTGAAAAGTCCGTCTGTAATTAAACAATGTGTTTTTGACGAATAGTCAGTTTTTACGGATTCCCACCGAAACAAGGAATTTTTAATTTTAATATTTTATCCAAAGCAAAATATTCCAGCCATTTTGAAACAAAATTAAAACTTTTCAGGTCCCTTATTATAACTTGCCAATAACTAAAGGTAAGATTTTATAATGCCGATAATTTGTTTTTCGTTATTATATGTATTACTGGGTGATAAGCTGGTGGAAAGATCTCCAAATATTCGACTCATTTCGAAACAAAATTAAAACTTTTTAGGTCCATTATTACAAAATAAAGGTAGGATTTTATAATGCCGATAATTTGTTTCCCGTTATTATATGTATGCGGGATGATAAGCTGTCGGAAAGATCTTTTTTTAATAAAATTTTTTTAAAATATAGTTTATTAATGAACAAATGTTTTTTAAGCGCAAAAGATCTACATACATAAGTAATATTTAAGACTTAAGTTCATATTTAAGACTTAAGTTCATATTCAAATTTTACCCAAATACTAACCGAAATGTTATTCCAATATCGGGATCTTATTTCAAATATATGTATTTCAAATTTATTAATATCTACTTCAGTATATAAACTTTTAAAAATAAATTTAAAAATCTTAAGAACTAATTAACACTAATTTTTTACTGTGTATAAAATGAACTAGAATTCATTGAACTCGAATTCATGCCCAACAATGAGGAAGTGTCACGTTGTGTGGCCACTGCTGTACGTTGATAGCGTGCAATGTGATCTAGGGAGTGAGGCAAAATCGGACGAACACTATGCATTTCCAACAGAGTTAAATTATCCAATTTTGCATAAGTACCCTCGCCCTTGATAAAGGCATCAATGGAAGTGCGTAATTTCGATTCGCGTATATCGAATATATCCTTGATAACTGTACGTATTTCCTCACATCTGGGAACATCATCGGGAGCAGTACTCATAATTAATTGAGCTTCTATCATATAATGTTCACTGGGCATTTTTGTAAAAAATCTGTAAAAATGGAATATTAGAGAAATTACGTCCTAGTATTTTATTCGCCTTACTTGGATCTCTTTTCTTCTTCTTTAATTTCCTCCAATAGATCCATGTCCATCCATTCGGGTGGCACAATACGACATTTTTGTTGTTTTCTTAAATGGATGCCCAGCCAGAGTGGTACATGCACTGGCATACCGGCACGAAATGGCCCTACACTTCCCGATATCAAATGCAAAGGTTCGAATGAAAAATTTGGTATGACACCAATTGTAGATTTTTCTCCTATAAATTCTATAACACAAGGTTCCATTTTATATTTCTATTATCGACAGCAAAAACTTTTCTATTACTTTATTTTTCCTTTTTGCTGAAAAGCCGCCAAAAAATGTAAATAAACAATTTTTTCAACAGCTGTTGTGTAAAGTCTCCAATTTGTCAACTGCGATTAAAAAAGGTACCAAGAAATACAACGCTACAGAAGAAAAACATATGCTGCATTTTTTTCTTATTAGACTTTAAAATTAAAGCTGCCAGATCAATTATAGCAAAATAGGCAATTTCTTATTATATCTTATTTTTAACAAGCAAATAATTGGTAATTTATGTTTAAGATAGCGTTCTCCAGTGAAAAGGAAACTTGAATTCAAGTCGAACATTACAATGTCTTAACAGTATAATTCAAGGCACGAAATCTATATACGTACAATATAAAATTCTAACGTTACTGACTGACTGACTGATTCATCATCGTACAGCCTAAACGGTTGAAGCTAAAGAGCAGAAATTTGGGCAGGAGGTTGGTCTTCCACCAAATATATCCAATAAGACGGGATTTTTGGAAATTCGAATTTTTTGGGGGTTAGAAAAGGGTAAAAAACGTAAATTCGGTAACCTCAAATCTCCTAAACTAGAAAAGTTACAAAAACAGTTAAAGCTTATCGTCGTTCATTCAAAAAGCGGACAGGTGTCCGTTACTTTTTTCAAATTCGGCCTCTTTAGGGAATAAACGGGTAAAAACTGTATTTTTTAAACCAGAGAACTATCAAAAAATATTTTTGAATCCTTAATAACTTGAAAAAATAAAAATATGAATTTAGTACTTTTTGGATATTCGGACGTTTAAGGGGTGAAAATTGTACATATTTTTGGTACTTTTTTATAAATCATTGTTTTTGGTTTATTAACTTATATATATGAATTCATAATAACGGGCTCCCAATACGAAGTTGCAACTTTTTGGAACAGAATTTTTAATTCGTTAATGGGGAGGAAAAAAGTACCAAACACTAAATATGCTAATGGGGTGTTATTTGGAACACCGGTACCAAGTGATATTTTTTGGTACTTTTTCATTCTCCAACTGGTACTTTTTGAGTTTTCGAAACATGAAATTAATAATTAAGGGACTTTTTCGTTCTACAAAGGTACTTTTTGAGTTTTCTATAAAATTTAACCTAGAAACATGAAATTAAGCAAGTAGAGTCCGGAGTAAATGTGAATCTATAAAATGGGACTTATTGGTACTTTATCGTACTTCGACAGGTACTTTTTTGACTTAGAACTTAGAAACATGTAATTAAGCACTTGAGAATCTATAAAAGTGGACTTTTTGTACTTTTTCGTTCTTCAACTGGTACTATTTGAATTTTCTATTATAATGAACCTAAAAACATAAAACTAAGCAATCAGGGACTTAAGTGAATGAAAATTTAAACTGGAGTATTTCTGGTACTTTTTCGTTCTTTAACTGGTACTTTTTGAATTTTCTATAATATTGAACTTAGAAATATGAAATTAGATAAAAGAGGTCTTTTGGTACTTTTTCGTGCTTCATCTGGTACTTTTTGCGTTTTCTAAAATATTGAATACATAAAATTAAACACGCATATCCTAATTGAACGAAAATTTAAAAAGGATACTTTCTGGTACTTTTTTGTTATTTTACTAATACTTTTCGAATTTTTTATAATATTGAACCTAAAATTGGACATGCAGCTTCCTGTTTTTTCTGTAATATTGAGACTAGAATCATAGAATCAATTTTATTCCATTACGATGAGGGTAGCGAATCACACTGGGCATAGCTAGTACATTATAATTTAAATAGAAAAAATACTTGAATTCAATCGTTGAATTACAGTTTAATTTAAACCTTAAAGTATAATGTAATTCAAATCGAAAAAATCCTACTGATATTTATGTAGGTATATATGTAAGTGTGTATATAATAGATTCAAAATATTATATGCATTTATATTTATATATGTATGTCTGGTGGAACATATAGTTTTTATGAAACAGACCTTTTATTAAAAAAATTAAGCAAAAGGATATTATAAACATACATATGTACAAAATGAATGAAATATGATTCTTATTACATATCAAATACATTAGTAGGTGATTTTTATAAACTATTGTTAAACAGACACTTTGCAGCATGTTTACATCTTCAAACGTCCAAATAAATCAGCCAGATATTTTAAAATTTCCATGAAGCCATAAACACCAGAAATATTGTCTATATAAAAATGGTCAATATACATATATTTTTTTCATTTGAATTTAATAATTCAATAGCAAACAAACCTTTTTAAATCACTTAAATACCTTTTGGTTAAATTTAGAATCGAAAATTAATGGGTTTAATCTATATGTGTGATGAAATACAAAATATTTTATTATTTTAAAAATATTTTCAATTTTTTTTGTTTGACAAGAAAATAAAGTTTGAAGAAAATTTTTTGGTTATTCTTTTACTTGAAAACAGTATTGGAATTAAAGTTGAAATCCAGTTAAATTTCAAACACTTGAAATCATAATTTTTGAGTGCTTATTGGGTATCATTTATCAAAAAATCATTCATCAAAAAAAAAAAAGTTTATCTGTAGGTATCAATTGGTAGGTTCCTTGGGATCATCACAATTTTAATAAATAGCAAAGATCATCTTAGTATGCATTATATAAATATCAAATCGAATTTTTGGTCTGTCATTTAAGTCGCAATTGTTGATGGGATGTATCCTAATATATGTATTAAAGTCCAGCACAAGGCAACAATAATGCGACAATTTGCTAAAAAAAAAAAAATTGTGTGCTTAAGATGGCGCACACGATATATTTTTTTAACAAATTGTGGCATTATTGTTGACTTGTGCAGCCCAAATGTGGCATTTCATTCACAAACAAATTTAGTGCGTTAATTTGTTCAAAATTTGTCTATAAATTTAATATATTTTAAAAGAAAATTAAGACGCAACCGAGGCCTTGCTGTTACAAAATTCATAAACATAAAGTATATGTGTACTTACGTCTTTTTCTTGTAAAGTTGAATCTGTTGGATCTATAGCTACGAAATTTTCAGACCTAAATTATCGATTTCTATAAAAAAAAACTAAAATCGAAAATCATGTCGCTTACGTCCATTTTGCAATATCAATCGAAATCTATAGGCCATAATTGACCCTGCCCCCCTTCAATAATTGATTTTAACGTTTTCTACGTACTTAATAATACCATAATAAAACAATTTTTGTTGGAACGAAAATATGTCTACCAAATTTTATGACGATCGAAACATAATTCACACTAAACCCATATGAAATCTCCTTCAGAAAATGACTTAAACGTACATAAATGGCTTTCAAATGTCGATGTAATAATGGAATTCGACGAAAAAACTTTTTTAGGAACCGAACCGCCAATATAACCCTCTTACAGAATATCAGTTTATAGATAATACATCATTCCATCATCAGTTTATAGCTAATACATTATGATAGAATTATGGTAGAATTAAAAAAAATACTTTAAATTATGGAGAACTTGGTCCATAATTGACCCAATTCAACATTTAAGTCCCTATTCCGAAAATCACCCTGACGTTCTTATTAATCTAATGATCCGAAATTTGCTCTTTTACGACACATGATTTGTCGAAAATAACTCTTACTTCTTACTTATTTTAATCATAAAGAAATTACCGCTAAAATAGGAATAGTCTGCCTTTAGAGTTGCGAGTTTTCATACACTCTAATAATGTTTTCAAAGCGAAACTTTTGGAATATTTTTCAATCTCTTTGTGATCCCTTTAATTGATGTTGTTCTGGTTCTCATTATCCCTAACTGGGCCTATTTCATTCGTTTATCTTGGAAACTATAACTATTACAGTTAGAATCTTAAAATTTTGCACGAAGAACTTTAACATCCATGTAAACATTTTGGGTAATAAATTGGGGGACTACCAATGAGGGGAGCGGAACCTCTCATATGAATTAAATACAAAAATTCGTTTTCTTAATGCAAAATTTTTTAGAAACTGATTTTCTGCAAGATGTTTTATATGGAGGATAGGGTTAAATATCGGCCGATCCTCGCAAACTTGGAGAAAGGATTTGTTTTTAATTTTTAAGAATTTTTTATCCATCCTTGCATAATTTCTCACACAACTTTTGTGCTTGCTCTGTTTTGTTGTTATAAACAATATATTTGCTTCCAAAATCCCAGTTTCTGATCTCTCGGATTCCGTTTCTATTTAAAATCGTTGAAAATTTAAAAACTAGTTGAAAACTTAGCCGGCTTACAGTCGATTTTAAGACGCCGCCGACATATTTAGTGTCAGTCCCCGTCGTCGCTAATATTTGTCGGCGCAGGGCTCTGGTGGTGACGCTAAAATTTTCAAGTTTTGTGAAAAAAAGTTAAATTTAGTAAAAAGTGTTAAAAAAGTAATTTAAAGTGTAAATAAAATGAATGCTAGTGAGTGTGATGTGGAGAAAGACTCCCGCACATATGAGGACAATGGAAATTTCAAAGAAAACAAAATTAATTTCAGCAAAGAGGTGAAGCAGGTGATTGATAAGGCAAGTACTAAATTACAGGACAGCTGCCATTGTACGAACGACATATTGTAATGCATTCTAATTTGATAGGTTTTAAAATCTGATGATCCCATGGATGCCCCTGATTTCAATTCGGTTGATTATATCAATCAGCTCTTTCCTAATGAACAGTCGTTGGCCACTATTGACGAGACCATTCATCGTATGCAATGTGAAGTCTCATTGATTGATGACAATATACGTTCCGTTGTTAGGGGACAAACAAATACTGGGCAGGATGGTCAGATGGCCTTGTATGAAGCCCAAAAAGTCATTACCACTTTATACGATCACATTATTGATGTGAAAACCCGCGCGGAAAAGACTGAAGAAATGGTAAAGGAAATTACAAGAGATATTAAGCAATTGGATTGTGCTAAACGCAATTTGACTTCAGCCATTACAACTCTTAACCATTTACACATGTTGGTGGGCGGCATTGAAAGTTTGGAAAAGTTAATAGAGAAACGTTTGTATGGAGAGATTTTGAATCCTTTACAGGCCATAACAGAAGTCAATCAACATTTTCAACAATATTCGGACATAGAAGAAATTAAGAATCTCTCGCAGAGTGTCGATCGCATACAAGTGACATTGGCCCAACAGATAACGGAAGACTTTAAAGAGGCATTTTCGGTTAAATCCTCTGGCAACAGTGCTCATCCCCGTTTGGGTTTGAATCAGTTATCAGATGCCTGTAAAGTGGTTTCCGTTCTGGATCCTAAAGTTAAAAAGGAGTTGTTAAAATGGTTTATTGCCCAACAATTGGAAGAGTATTTGCATCTGTTTCATGAAAATCAAGATATTGCTTGGTTGGATAAAATTGATAAGCGTTATGCCTGGCTTAAACGGCACTTACTTGATTTTGAAGATAAATTTGGCAATGTTTTCCCCTTGGATTGGGAAGTATCTGAGAGAATAACGGTGGAGTTTTGTCGTTTGACACGAGAACAATTATCTCAAATTATGGCCAAAAGAGCAAATGAAATAGATGTGCGTCTGCTGTTGTTTGCCATCAATAAAACTCAAGCCTTTGAACAGTTGCTATCAAAGAGATTTACTGGCATAACATTAGGTGTAACTAATACAAATGGCGAAAAGGTCTCCACAGCAAATGAAATTTCCAATGTATCAGTTGATCCCATAGTTGGAACACAATCTGCTGTTGTTTTTCACGATCAAATTGGTTCATGTTTCAAGAATCACTTGGACATTTATATCAAAAGTATCGATCGCAATCTATCGGAACTTATTGAAAAGTTTATTGAACAAACTAAGGAGCCCTTTAAAGTGGGCGAAGCTAAGACTACAGTGTATCCTAGGTATGAATGTAGTGTTTTAAATATGTGTGATTGTCTGAAAATGATATTAATGAAAAATGTGTGTTGCAAACGCAAACTTTATTATTTACTACCAGTTCTGCTGATCTATTTGTTTTCTATAAAAAATGCATGGTTCAATGTAACCAATTGAGCAATGAACAGCCCATGTACGAACTAGCAATGGTGTTTAAAAAATATTTACGTGAATATGCTAGTAAGGTGTTGGAGTTTAGTATTCCCAAATTGCTGCCTTCAACAACATCTATTGGTGAGTGTTTATCATTTAATTAAACTTTTCAAATATGGTTTTGTATTTACTGGTTATATTTATGTAATTCAATTGCTTTTAAATTACATCGTTCTTTCAATACATTATCGCATGTCCTTTAACCCTGCCACCACAGATTCTTTATAATTTTTTTACACTTTCACAAATTTCTACACTTATTTCCACCTAAGATATTATTAGAAAATCATTTTTTGATTTCAAACATATTCGTTTGGTAATAGTTATCTTATTAATTTGCATAATTTGAATATAATTTAAACATAAATCGACACTTGATATAATAATTACGTTCCACTTTCAACACCAAAAAAAAAATAATTTTTACTAACATTAAAATCATTACAACACGAACATCGCTGTTTAAGTGTATTATTTAAAAAAATGTAAATGAAAAATAATAATAAATCCACCAGGAAAAAGTATGTCTTTATTGACACGTGACATGCAGAATCTCTCTACGGCCGCCGGTCAAGTTATACATAATTTCCTAAAGGAAGGCGACGTGCAACGTTTCTCCAAGGATGATCTAATACGCATCTGCTGTGTATTAACCACAGCAGAATATTGTCTAGAGACAGTACAACAACTGGAGGATAAACTTAAGGAAAAAGTAGCCACAGCTTATATCAATAAAGTTGATATGTCTGAGGAAAAAGATGTATTTCATCGGTAAGTAAAATTTAAAAACAACATTTTATATTCTTTAAATGTTCTACGCAAATTTTATACGTTTTTAGAATTATCTCAAATTGTATACAACTGTTAGTGCAAGATCTTGAAGCAGGCTGTGAACCATCTCTACAGGCCATGTCAAAAGTACAATGGCAAACAATTAACAATGTGGGTGATCAAAGTGCTTTTATTTCTAGTATTTGTGCCAACTTTAAACAAACTGTTCCCATATTACGTGATAATTTATCTACTTCTCGCAAATATTTCACTCAATTCTGTCATAAATTTGTGAATGTTTTTATTCCCAAATTTATCAATGTTCTATATAAATGCAAATTAACTCTGTCGGATGGTTCCAATAATGTTTTGGGTTGCGAACAATTACTACTGGACACTCATAGTTTAAAAACGGCCCTAGTAGATTTACCTTCCATTGGTTCGAGTGTTAATCGCAAAGCTCCTACTTCATACACCAAAGTGGTGGTCAAAGACATGAGTCGTGCTGAAATGATTATAAAAGTGGTAATGACACCTGTCCAACCACCAGCTCATTTTACACAACAGGTTTTGAAACTACTGCCAGATGTAACCATTGCAGAGTATCAAAAGATTTTAGATATGAAAGCCGTTAAACGTGTGGATCAGTTACAACTCATAGATCTTTTCAAACGTACTGCCTCAACAGCGGCTTATGCAGGTTTAACAGAATCTTCTGATAATACCTCGAATACTGAAGTAGTTTCGACCAATTCTTCCGAATTAAATACAGACAATTTAATGGTTGATGCTACTAGTATTGAAAGTTCATCTTCTGCACAAAATCCTACTAGCAACACTACTACTGTTGCTTCGACTTCAACTCCCAAAAGGGCTTTTATTTTTAGTGTTGGCAGTTTTTCAGGTGGCAGTAATAGTGCTGATAAAAATGGTGATGGTACTTCACAAGCGGGCAGTGATCGTGGTCGTATACGTAAATTGGAAAATCTGTTAAAAAAACGTTTGCCTTAATTATATTTTAGTATTATTTTACTATTTATTCAAATTTATTATTTTTTTTAGAACATTCCATTGTTTTTATTGTTATATTGAGTTAGTTGCATACAACTGTTGTATATTTCTTTTCTTTCAAATTATGTGCAATGCAAAAATAAATTGGTTTAATAAAAATATATATTTTTAGTTAAAAATAACTGTTTTTTGTTTTATTAAAAAATCCCTTTAGAAAGAACTTAAGATAGCGATTATTTTTAAAATTCAATCGGTTTCTGTTTTTTAATCCAAAGTATTGGATTTTTTTATTTTCGCTAGAAATTAATTTTTTTTATTAAAAATTAATTTTTTATTTAAACGGTTTATAAATAACAATTTGTATGGTAATTTAGTTTTATAAACCTTTTATATGAATATGGGGAAAAGTTTACCCTGTACACTGAATTAATAAAATTACATTTTTACTCAAAGTTAAGATTTTCATTTCTATTCCATTCTATTCTATTCTATTCTATTCATTCCCTTTTCAAAACAGAAACTTCTTTTTACCCGTTTCAATAAACGAACTAAATCTTTACATCAGTTTGCCTTAGCATATTTTCTTTAATTGGACTTAATAGGTAAAAATATTTGGAACCCGTTTTTGAAAAACTGAAATACTTTTTTACGATTCAAACTCAAAATGAAAAGTTAAGTTAAATTAAAAAAAGGTCATAACCAAATCTAATAATTTTTACAAACAATACTCTGCTAAAGTTTAAGTTAATGTAAAAATGTTGACTAAATTTGTGTTTTTTACACTAAACTACACCTATAATCAAAAAAACTTCATAAACCGGAAAGTGCATTTCATTAAATGCCATTAAAAATGTCTCACTTTTTGGAAATAAAAACAACAATTTCTTTTTTTTTAATACAAAAAATGATTTTTTTTATTATTATTTATATAATTATATACATATTACTTTAACAGAAATATGTTTTTATAAAAATGTTTTATCGTCTTAACAAACTAACATACACATTACATAACTATGACTATTTTTGTATTTTGCGCAAAAAGATATAACTAAATGTTTTCTTTTCGTTTTAAATTATGGATAAAAGAAAAAATATATATATTTTTAAACTAAAAACTACCAGAGTTTTATCCTGTTGCTATTTTATGTATTTGTATTTTTAATTTAACTTTAACATACACATACGCTGAAGTTTATAAAATAAATTTGTAAGTAAAAGATCTTTTGAAAGAATTTTTTTCGACTTAAATAGAAAAAAACGAAAGACTTAAGACACAAACTTTTCCTTACATACATAAGCGAAAACAATTTGTGCGCTACAATTATTACAAAAGTATAGATGTGTTTGTTTGATGATGACTTTGGTTTGATTCCAGCACGATTTTTTTAACACCTTTACAGCTCTGCTTAAATTAACAAAACAAGCTTAAAGAGTTGTTTAAACAAAATGTGGATATTTTTACTTAATTATAATTAAAACAATAAAAAATTTAGTTGACTAATTGTTGTGTGTGTAAATATTTCAATTGTGTAAAAGCATTCATTAAACTAAAGTAGCAAACTAAGTCTACTTAAGTGAAGCTGTTTTGTAATTTTCATTTCTTTTTGGTATTAAACTTATGATTTCATTTCATTAATGTTAATAATATTTCAAATATATATTTCTATATGTACAAAGGGGGGTGTTTGTCTTAAAACTAAAATACACGTGTGTGTTGTTGTCTTAATATAGTAATTTTAACTTTAACTTAAATACACAGTATTCATAACGAAAATAAGAGTTAAAACTACGATTAAGTTTTATTAAACTTAAACTGCTACTATTTTGCTGGGATCAACTTTGACTCTCAGAAACACGGTGTCGTCCTTAATGAAGGGACGCTTATAGAGCAAATCATGAGCTATGAAACGGGGGAAACCAAAACCTAATTGATCGGGTTCGTTTGAAGGGCGTTGGAAATTTTCCCAAGTGGGATCGGGTACAAATGATTCGGCTACACCACCTTGACCAGCCTGTGCTCCTTGTTCGAAGAGGGTAAAGGTTATGGAGTGGGAGAAAGGCCATTTTAGTAAAGCATCATATTCACCAGGCAATACTTTGATATAAACCGAAACATGAGTATTTTCACCGGGACCATTGCCATTTAAGAACATGGAAGCTTGCAATTTGTAGCCATATTGAGAGGTATAAAATGGTGGTGAAACTAATTCCAAACCATCTTTGCCTTTGGCCTCTGACATTTTAGCAGACCAATCGGTAATTTTCCACAATAAAGTGCCAGTGAAATTAATGGACAATTTAGAGACGGCTGATTTTAACATTTGGATTTGTTGTCCCTGTCTGGCAGATAAAGCGACCATTAAAGACAAATGTGAAGCGGCATTGGCCTCTAAGTGGGCTTCCAACATGTGTCTGGGTCCTTTAAATCTGCAGCCGGCCTCTTTGAATGTGCATGAAATGGCCAAAGCTTTGCATTCATCTCTCAAATGGGCTTCCATATCGGCACGAGCAATGGGTCCCACATCGCAACGCTGAGGGCATACAGCAGGAGCACGTGGGCATTGATTGACATGCAAAGCCAAAGTATCGGCTGAAAATTCCCGATTGCAGTGTAAGCAACGTCTTAAGCGTTTGGTACAATCCTTGGATTTGTGTAAAGTCATGCGACCTCTCAACACACGCTGGCCGCACTTGGCCTCACAATATATGGGCTCTTGACCACAAGTACCAGCATGTTCCTCTAAACCAGCTCCGGAAAATTCACTTTGACAAAATTCACACTTGGTACGTCTCATAGTGCAGGTATACTGCAAATGATCTGTCATCATTATACGAGGAATCTGGGCACCGCACTTATTGGGACACTGGGTAGCATCATGTTTACAAACATTCAAATGAGCCTAAAAGTACAACAAATAATAAAGAATTTATTAATAAAAATGTTAAAAAGAAACAAAATAACTTAATTTATAGCTCGTCATTATAAAACATAAAAAAGTATTTAACTTCCTTAACATAATTCATTTAACTTGCTTAAAATTTCCCACCTTAAAACTAGTAAACTCTAGTGGTGTAGAGTTCTTAGGAATTTGTTTTCAGTTTGTCTACTTTATAACTATAAAAATCCCACCATAAGTCATAAAACTCAAGTAAGAAGTAATAAAAAGAGAAAAAAAAATGAATGAAATTTAAATTAAGTATGATGTAGGTACCCATGGACACATTTAACCTTTAGCTACTTTAAACTGTTTTAAACAAAAACTGGCTAAATTAGTTTGTTTATAAAAAATATAAACCCATTTAAATTTAATACAAAAACCAGGCCCATTTTCTGGGAAAAAATTAAATTTCTTTACTTTTAAATTAATTTTAATTAAAAAATAAAGACTTTCTATGGAAAATTTAGATCAGAAATGGTTTTAGAATAAAAACAAACTCGAGCTTTGTGAAAGCTTAACTTACCTTTAACTTTCTCAATTCATCTGACCAGGTGCAGCCCTGTTTATGATGTATGCAAAATACCAAAGAACCCATTATAGCTTGTTTCGGATCGGGACCAGGGTAAATCTAAAATGTAAAAGAATTAAAAAAATATATTAATATTTATGCTAATTTAAATAATTTTATACAAACAACCTTAAATTTACGTCTATTTGATGTAATTAAATCTAATAGGTTATTCATTTAGTTTTGAATGGTTGAAAAGAAGATTTCAAAGTGACATAATTTTCTCAAATGAAAGTGGTTTATAAATGAAATCTAAATATATTTTTCTTATAAAATTTTTTGGCAAACATTTTCCATGTAAACAAATAAACAAACAAATTTTCTGAGATAAGATAAGAACAACCATTAAAGGATGATTTTTGTCTGAAATTAGTAGGTAATTTGTGTTCTTTGTTAGACATTTTTGAAAATTACTTTACCTCTCTTTTACTCGTATAGTTACAGCAAGAACAATTTTGAGACTAGATTTCAAAACAAGTTTTATGCTTTAACTTAAATCATATGATTAGATCTTACTTTCAAAGTTTTATTAGAAATATTTTCATTTGTTAGTTACTTCGTATAAAATATATTTAATTTATTTTCTTTTTTTTAAAGATTTTTTTATTTACGCTTCACTAACTAATAGACTGACTTCCGCTTAATAATTCTACTTAAAACGGCAGTTTTATTTGACAAAAAAAAAAAAAAAACTACTATACACATGAAATTGACCCTTTAATAGCTTGAATTCAACGGATGCAAGTTTAAAATAAATCAATTAATAATTTTTAACGGATTTTTTTTTATAATTTCATTAAACATAAAGTCGCACATAAAGTATTTGTGTATATTTTTCCATAACATACAATTATACAAAACCATAAAATTTTCAAAATGATTGATAAACATAACAGAAATTAAAAAAACCTTCCCCCACTAGAATTTTCTTTATAAATTTTATCTTGCAAGACCTTTGGATTTAAACTTCTTCATAAGTGCGAGTTTGTATTTTATGAGGGCTTTCAATCCAGTCTTCTACATAATTTTTTATTGTATTTATTTTCTTTGTGTTCAATTTTCAAAAAGATAACATTTATTTGTTTTGTTGTTTTTGTATGCCATCAGCAGAAATAACCCCAACTCTTTACATATTTTTTTTAATAATGCAAAAAAAAAGAAGCAAAAATTGCATTGAATGCTGCTGCATTTCTGGATAATTATGGTTGCAGTTGCTTGCATGTTGTTGTCTCTTAGAGTTGGTGCTGGTTTTTCTTTTCTGTTTTATTTTTTTTTTTGCAGTGTTATATTTTTTATGCAAAGTTAAAGTTTACATTGTTGGCAGTTTCCAACATCCGGTTTGATTAAGTAAATGTTATGACTTGTTCATTAAAGGCTTTTGTGGCAGAATTTATTAAAGCCGAACATAGTCAGATATCTATCAGAAAGACAGAAAGGGGTACGTCGAAAGTTGTAACCAAGCAGAGAAGTAAAATAATCAGTTTATGACTAGAAATGAATAAATGCCTAAAAAGCTATACTCAGAATTCGCTTGAGTACTTTTTGTACCCGGAAAGTACTTTTGATAATAGTTGTAAATGAGACTAAGAATAGCTAGCATTGTATTGTATATGATCAAATCATTAATTCTTGAGAGTAGTTTGAGCCAAAGAAGAACATAGTCAATAAAGAGGCTTTTTAATAAAAAAGTACTAGCTGAAGCGATTTTTTTTTTAAATTCACAATTGTCTTCAAATTAACTAAGAAATAAAAGAAGAAATTTTGAAACATTATCTAAATATGATTCAAAACTGAATAAAGATTTCATTAGTTTTAAGCCCTGGTTTTGGTTTTAAGGTCATTAATCATAAAAGCTGTGAAGTAATGCAGTTTTTCTTTGGTCTTGAGAACTTAATTGTGTAAAACAATTAAATAATTTGCTCATTGGTGTGACTTAATATTTCTCTACCCGTTTTGGACGGCTAATTTAATTTTAACGCATTAATTTTTGCAGTTTTAAAATAAAAATAAATAAAAAGAAAAAATTATACTTAAATCTTATATTATTACAATATTTGTGTAAAATTTCATAAAATTGCAAAAAACACAACAAACAATTTACAAAATTGGTTTAAAAGTTCTTGGGAAATATTTCAACAAAATGTAATTTAATATACAGCTAAATTGGCTTAAGTTTTACCCCTCCCCCTCTAAGAAAAACTATTTTAAATGAATGTAAAAAATTAACACATACAAATGATTTTTTACAAATATTCTTTGTTTTTTAAAACCAAACACCAGGAAATTAATGTTTTTTTATGGGCTACACACACAAACAACAGCAACTCCCAAGTGGGCAACAACTAAATATTTCTTTTAAAGTCATCAAACTTTGTTGAAAATTATAATTACAAATATGTTTAAAAAAAAGACTATTTTCAAAACACACATTCTTATACAACAAATAGAAAAAACATTTTTTTATCAAACGTAGCATGGGTCTCTTAGAGGCTACAAACTAATTAGTTAACAATGTGTTTACAATTTATGATTGAGTTTCAAATCAGACAAAATAGACAGAAAGACAGACAGACAGCCACATAGACCTGGCCTAGCATTTATATTGAAAAATAAAATAGAAATAGAATTACAATAAAACATTTATGCATTTATTTCCGTTGGGGATGGATGGCACTTTTTATAAAAACTTTTTTCCAAACACAAGAATGTGTGGTTGGTGCTTTGTATTAAAGTATGTGCTTAATGTTTATTTATTTATTACTTTTCTGTAAATCTAAAAAATAAATATCATTTTGAAATTTTTACAAAGAAAAAGAAAAAAAGCTTAGCATGGGTCTGGCGGACTGTTATTGACTTGTGTGTTTGTTTCAGGGTTTAATAACTCGTGTCTGATTTCTGTATGTGACTGTCTGTTGTTCTGTTTAATAATTTGTTTCTCTCAGTTTGTTCTACTTTAAGAAAAAGGGGGGCCGTTTGCCGCCGTCATGACTTTAAGGAAATGCACGTGTTATTTGTTGTTTTTGTAACAATGCCCTTAAAAATATTGTTTAGTTTGGGGTTTTCTTATGAAAAAACAAACTTAAATATTTGTTTAAACATTTATCAAAAACTAAACTTTTTAGTGGCTCTTTTTTTCACTGATAATAATTGATAAACATAAACTATAGAGAGTGTGTTGAAATTCTTATATATTTAATGGATTTTGTTATTTATTTAAAAAATAAATATTTATTTTAACAATTTTTTTAAATAATTTAAAGTTTTCCTAATTGTTAATGTTTAGTATTTTTCATTTTAACTTTTAGTACAAATAATTAGCAAGTTTTGAACTTAAAATTTTAGTTCCCACGTTATCAATCGTTTTTGTGTGGGTAACTGGCCTAAATTACATTTATAAATATTGTTTATTTATTAAACAAATTAGTTCGTTTTTATGCTTAAAATATTTAATAACAAGTTTGAATAATTTTATGACTATAAAAAGAAAGGAAAAAAGTCGAAATCTTCATTTATATGCAAAAATAAGTTTTAATTCGTAAAATATTCCAAATTATATTATTGATCTTTTTATGAAAAAAATGTGGTCTAAGGGAAGAACACGATTTGAGGATCTATGTGCCAAATGATTTCTTCATATCATATTGATATTCTTAGTCTAAATTGTTAGTTAAGAGGGTTGTATCTAAGACCATTGATATTCTTGTCCATAGAATGAATCAAAACTAGAGAATTGTTAAGATTACTTAACAAGTAATACAGTTTGGGAATTCTTTAAATTTGTTTATTCATATTAAATAGAGCGCCACTTAAAAACCATTAAATACCAGTTTTTTAATTAATTTTATTATTATTTTATTCACTTTTGAAATTTTAAACTTTTTATTAATCAATTTTTGTATTCTTTCTTTTCTTTTCTTGCAGGTAAGTTTTATGTGTTTTATTTAATAATATTTGTTAATTTTTTCCACCACACATCATAATTATCATTGAAACTACTACTGATAGTGTGTATATTATTATGGATACATAACATCCGGTGTAACATTCTGAACTCCACAACGAAAAAAAAAACAGCTGATCTTTCAAAATATACTGCCACCACAACAAAAAAGTTTAATGAATAAAAAATTACAAGAAAAAACAAGTTTTAAAGAGAGAATTTAAAAAATATTTTATTCACTAAAAAACAAAACAAAAAACAAGTTTTTTTGGTGGAAGAGAGCAGCTGATCTCAAATAAAAGGTATTTTGTTTTTATTAATAAAAATTAAATATTCGATAAACCAACAAAAAATGCAAAAAAAAAACTTCAAACCTGCACACATTTTTCGAAAAAAAAAGAAACAAAACAAAGTGAAAAAATCATTAAAAATAATGATGAAAAGCCGGCTTAACACCGACTGATATTTACAGCAGCATTAGCAGCTGTCGATCGGTCGCTCCATACGTCTGTCTATCTTTCTCTCTATAACAATATACTCGGTTGTATCTTTTGTTCTATTAATTTATCTATAGATTTTCTATTCTTATTTGTTAAAAAATGTAAAAGAAAATGAAATACACAACATAATCAGGCTTTTATTGTTGTTGTTGTTATTGTACACATAAATATTCTCACGGTGTTTAGCTATTTTGAGCATGTTTTAACAAGCCTTTTACAGATATACAGTTAATAAGAAAATGTCTGTCTGTATGTACGTCTGTCTACAATTTCAATTACGAGTTGGTGTCTTTGTACTTAAATTTTCAATTGTTTTTTTTTTCGGTTTTTGTCTCTTTTACCTTGTTCTTTTCTCTTAGGTTCTGTAATTTTGTTCGTTGTTGTTACTCTTGAGAAGCAGGTGAATATTTGTTGTTGCTAAACAAAAATTTTGTCTGCAGCTGCTGCGACTGCTACCTTGCAATTGTTGTTTCAGTTGAAATGCATTCACAGTTATTTAAAATTATAAATTTTTTTAGTGTTCGTTGTGTTTTTCGTTAAAAAGTTTAAAAACTGCTGGCTGTTTAGTAGTTGTAGGTTAATAATAAAGAGCACCAAGTAACAAAAGAAGCAATAAAACT